CTATGATGAAAACATTTTCTGGGAATTTGTTTAGCAAAGTGGAGACTAAATTATTAATCATTACAGAAATGTCTTGTAGTGGAGAGAAATTCTTTTGCGTAATAAAACAGGAGTCACCTTTCTGGACACTGATTCTCTAAGACAGATCTTTTCTGCCCTCAGCTTCCTTGAAAACCCAAATGTTTCATGATTTATTCTATATGACATACATCTAATTATGCCCCTCTTTCTTTCAGCCACTTTTAGAAAGGTTGTCATCTACAAATATTCATCAACTAGGAATTCTGTAAGAACAGTGAGAACGGATGAGCGTCTGGAATAACTTTTGCTTCTCCTGAACTTCAGACGCCCACGGGACTCTTTATGGTTTTTGGCCGGATCGTCCGCAGGCCTGAGATGACTGGTTTTGCTCTTACCTCCTGTTTACAGTGTAGCAAGCTGGGATGAATTATGACATCTGTCTGCACCCACCACACCCAGGCTGGAGAAACGAGGGGGACCATGTGAATATCCACATGGTCGCACACAGTGACCACCATTTTATTTTGTTCATCGACGCCCATTAGTTCTCTTCTCCATAGCTTTTTATGTTTCTGGTTCCACTGATGTGTCATCGTTTGATAATCAATTATCATCACAGCAGTAATCATCAAAGAGATAACTGCTCTCACACAGTGAGGGAAACATGAATCTTTATCTGGAGGGATGTTTTTAAAGCCGTTTCTGTTGCTGTTGATCTCCACGTGGCTAAAGGCTCCCTGTCGGTCACCCCCCCACCCCTTTGTTTTTTTCCTCCAAAGCTGTTTTCACTTCACTGGACTGATGAGCTGTTTAAAATGCTTACTGCTATCAGAAACCGTGCAAAACAAAGAAGAAATCTTTTTTTAAAAAACATAACACAAATCCGACACCTACACTGGAAAATTATCTAGAAATAAGTAAAAATGTCTTAAATGAAGTGTATTTACCCTTCATTTTAGTGGATAAATTAGATAGTTCGCCAATGGAATGACTATTTTTACTCTTAAAGTAAGATAATTCGATAATATGCACTTGAAATACGACAATGCAGTTGTGTTTTCGTATTTTAAGTGCAGATTGTCTTGTTCCGTTGCTTTTATCTCCTCAATTCAAGAACAAAAGCACTTATTTTAAGAAAAAATTGCTGATCTAGATTTCCATTTTTTCCCAGTGCACTAATCATACACTGCAAAAACCATCTAGACTTAAGTAAAAAAATTCTTAAACTGAGTGGATTTGCCCTTAATTTGAGTACATAAATAAGATGATTTGCCAATGGAATTAGTATTTATACTCCTAAAACAAGATAATTAGATTATATGCACTTGAAGACAAATCAAGTTTTTTTTCTTATTTTAAATATAAATTGTCTTGTTCCACTGGCACAGTATCTCAATTACCTCCTCAATTCAAGAAAAAATGCACTTAATGTAAGCAAAAATGACTCATCTAGATTTCCATTTTTTTCCCAGTGCACTAATCATAACTAGACACATTTAGACCTTTAGCAGTGATTACACAGTTAAATACTGAGCAGCGTCACTAATTACCTTTAGACTCTGCTGAACGATGACTGTTTGACTTTATCAGTTTGGTGACATTATAAAAAACCAGCCTGACCAGGTTCTGTGGTTCAGTCCACTAGTTGCTTCCATTGCTTACTGTTCACAAACCTAAAGTCAATTTATCAGTATAACCTGTCTGACTATATACAACAGTGATTCCCGACCAGGGGTACTTGTACCCCTAGTGGTCCACGAGTGCATTGCAAGGAGTACATGAAAATATTTTATTTCTTAGGTATAAAATAGGGCTGGGATCTGATTTGTTTTGTGAGGACCCAATTGATAAATTAAGCAAGCTTTTATCAACCAAAAAATACGTTGTTTTTTTTTGTTTTGCTTTTTTTTCTTATATTTTTGAGTTCACCTTCACCTGTGACTCGCATCCAAACCAAGCAGAGGAACAGAACAGCCTGGGATCAGCTGGTTTTAGCACTGAGCTATCGGAGCTCATCAAAGCAGCTCAGGTGTCTGGATGAAAACAAAGTAAAACTAATTAAGCCCGACTGACTTTAATTTATGTTCTGCATTTTGTTCCCAATTCATTGAGTTTAAATGTGATTATAGGGGAGTTACTTAGAGGAGCTCCAGGTTTATAATAGGATTTTATTTTGTATTTATTTCGATTCCTTAAAGGAATAGTACACCCAAAACATGATTAGCCTTCATTTTCTACTCACCCCCATGCTG